ACGATGGGGAGAGAAAAAAAATACACTACAGCATAACTGTACGTTTTGTGATAGCCCTGACTAAGGTTTCTTAGGAACTTGCCACCTGCATCATCAGGGTAGTCATTGCCTTGCTGAGAACCTCATATCTCACCAAGCCCCTCAGACAGTCACTCTTTTATTGAAATTATATTTGAGGACAGTAGGTTACATGCTTCCCAAAATTGTACTGTGGAAAACAAATTGGAAAATGTTTTCACTGATGATTGGTCAAGAGAGTTATGAGTATGGGGTACATATGCTATAGTCTAATAGTGAGCAAATAAGTCAGCATTCAGTGTTTCATTATGACAGCTGTTACCAATTCTAAAAAAAAACATATATTAACCCGTCAGCATCGGCTCCATTCCTGGTACAAACCTGTTTCATCACATGATGCGAGCCTCTACATGGTACAGACCAGGTACATGTAGTTCAAATCTCCATTCACAGGGTAGGACATCATTAAACTGACTGCAGTCACTTAAGCTTTAAATATCCATCTCATAAACCACGTTTAACACAACTGTTGGTAATGAATCAGTCATTGCACCCAAACTTTAGAGTCAACATTTTCCAAAAATCAAATTTTGGAGAAAACTAAATGGGCAGTATACTTCCAACTAATCACAAAGAGGTTAAAATTAAAATCTGCTATCTCAAATGCAGTGAATCAGATGTACCAGTATTTAACTTCTTACCCATCACACACATGACCATCATAATCATATTATTCTGAGGTTTAATGTATAAAGTATACCAAAGTGTTTTTGAAATGTTTTATACTATTTACAGTATATACAATCAACATACACATATACAAACATGCACATGCTCAGAATCATATGGGTATATACATCAGTGTAATAAAAATACAAAGGCAGGAGAAGAAAAACACACAATATTATTCCTGTTATGAAAATAATAATAATTGCAGGCACATTCAGTTACAACAATATTTTACAAATAGTAAATAACACGAGATCAAAATATTGCAATTAAAAGTTTGTAAGTCATCAAATCCAGTCCTAAAATAAATATGCATATTATAGTATTCATGAAGAAAATGTGTACTGTACAGTATTCTGATTTTAAAAGATAAGAGAAATTTGATATAGATTTAAAATGTACAACCAAAAAGTGATGTTTATTTAATCAAATATTAAATTCACATTCATTATAAAATACAATATATATATATATATAAATTGAACAAAATCTCACACAGGAAACGTATGTTCTGTTGGAACATACATTGGAATCTGAATTTTTATGGTGAAGCAACCGGCACAAGCATTCACCACAAAATGTAGTCATAAATAAATGAAAACGTAAGTTTTAACAAGCCAGCATCAAACCTCAACACTCCAATCCCATAAAAGCCTCACTGATCAAACGACAGTGCTGTATACTGATGCAATATTTAAGTCAGCAGAAAAATGGGATTACTTTGTTACTTGTATGGCAGACATACAAATGACAAAAACTTCACAGACAACTGCAAATTCAGTTTCCTCAGAAATACATGATTGTACAATGCTGCAATTTAAGACATATTTTATTCCATAAAAATTATACAGTAAATTTTAAGTCTGCCTACCACAGTCCTCTGAGAGGAACACCAAACATTATGAAATAAAAGTTAAAAGTTTACACTCTCTGGCAGTGGAATCAAAGCTCAACAACCATTAACACCAAAACCCACCACTGGATACATTTCATCCACCTACCATTCTCACAACCTATTTCTCTAATATCAACCTTCATATAGCATTCCAATCACCTTACTGGTCTTCTAGATGATTGCTTTTCAAGAGATATCCCAAATAAGATTTTGTATGGGTTTCTTCTTTCCTCCATCCAAGTTGCCATCTTGCCAACCATAACCTGCCAGATTTCATAATGATGACGCTGATGACGAAGTGGTGTGTGTGTGTCTATATACTGTGTGTTACATAACACAGATTTATTTAATGTTTCTAATTATGTTATGGTTCTTTCACTTTTGTGATTTCTGCCCAAAAGGCAACAGTAAGGAAATCTACTTCTGAGAAGCAAGCACCCACAAGATAGGATTGTTTAAATATTTGGCCTCCCAGCTGGTCGGTGCTGGAAACAATGTGGAAACAGACGTAGTCACTGAAAGAACAGAATACTGATGCCCATGGACAGCAAATTATTCTGCAGTATGGCAAGTGTTCTCAGTCTCTGTACAAAGTATACAGAACAAATTATTTTCAAGTTGCATAATCATATATTATCTATATAAAAATCCAATTAATCACTTCAAGATAAATGCCTTGTAAATCTACTATCTAATCACTAATGCATTACTAGTTTTAAACCAAAATAGTAACTGCTTAAACCTTTTATTCAAGCACAAGAGGTTTACCATTGCTCAAATACCTGCAATATCTGCCATAAATATCAGGATAACCATTCAGTTGTGCATGTATGAAATGTGTATATTCACATGAAATCTCAGCCTTAAATTAGCAGTTCAATACCAACAATTTAAAAAGTGAGCATGCAAGTCCTGAGAGAATCTTAGAACCCCAGCTACAAGAAATCATATTATAATAGAGACAAAGGTCAGAAAAGAAAACAACAACCTGAACAATGTAATTCAACATGTATGTATATCTCTTAAAGTCTAACTGGTGGAGGTTCTCGTTTATTAACACGGCATATGTTTGTTCAGATTTACAATATACACTGTATACAGGTTTATATGGTAACAAATTATCTATAAATAAGCATTCAACTACCATTAAAAATCTGTTATTCATTCAAATAAAATTTCTTTCTTACTAGCACACATATTTCATCAGCCTAACTTTTACAATAAACACAATAAATACATAATGCACACTGACCCTTTCAGTGCCAGATTAGTTTTACCTCACATGTGTTTCAGTGTACTACAAAGTTAGATGTATTTTTTCCATGAAATTCTTCCAGAAATTTTGAAGTGGGAAGTATAGTTCCCATTTATTGTGCTGTAAAAAACAAATCTTAAATGTGAGAGGACAGGGGTTCTCAGACTTGTTAAGCTTGGCACCACATCAGAGAAGAGTATGGTACCATATGCAAAATAAACTTGGAAAATACACAACCTACATTTGTATTGCTGACAGAAAAGAAAGTATATAACACAGTTTGGTTATATAAATTCCAAAAGCAGAAAGTATGTAAACTAACTTCAAGTTTCAAGAAGGGAAGGAACTTTCAAGGTATATTAGCTTTGCTAAAGGCCTACAATCTCGGGTTTGCGACATGGGATTGCTCAAAGCTAGTATTCAATTAATGATGTAAATATGTATATAAATGATAATTTATGGTACCCCAAGGGGTACTGGTACCACAGTTTGAAAACTGTTGGGGTAAGAAATATATAGCCACAATGTCATTAATACAGATTTATTTCACCCTGCTGCTGGTCACAGTGGCAGCACAGTATGAGGCATGGGCCTCATGAGCTTGGACACTGGGACCATGGGTTTGAATCTCACTCAAGGCATGGATGTTGTCCACATATTTCTGTGTTGTGCTGTTCTGTGTACAGGTAGAGGGCCTGTGATGGGCTGATCACTCGTCCAAGGAGTCTAAATAGATCAAGGAAACCTCCAAAAGGAGGATCCTATGCTCCACATAGGAGCAAAAAGGGTATTAAAAAGCACCCTGTTATTTATACTACTGAGTCTATTTACTGCTGTGTTTTTACAAATGACCAGGGGTGTAGCCTTAAAAATAAAAGAGCAAAGGCAACCTGGTATGCAGTTCTAGGTTAAATGAATTATAATATGAGGTTGTTCTCACTGTTACTTAATGACAGCTTTACATTTTTAAATGCAGAATTAAATGATAACCCACAATGAAACAGACAAATCATATTAAGTCAGGAAATTTTAAAACCAGAGCAAACAGATTTGTATGCTCTCTGACTTTTATAATTCATAATTTTTCTATGTTTCTAGACTGGAATTTTAAATTACATTATAAGCAGGGAGCTCACAACTACCCACTGCTCTTAGGCTATGCCACCTACATTTGACTGCCATCTTTAAAAGAAATGAATCCTGCAAATGTCCATTCAATAATGGACCCAGTAGGAAATTAAACAATTTCATAATATTATTTTTTCAGGCAAAGTGAAACTGTACTTCACTGATCACATTCCACTTCTTTTAAATATAAACAAAGCAGTATCAAAACACTATGGCCACAAGAGCATAAATTTTGGAACAGTTTGTGTTTGTGTGTGTGTGTGTAATTCATATATATGACATTCTACAAATGTAATAAACACAAACCATTTAGATATTTTGGAGATATTAACCACATCTCAAGCTGACAACAGAGTGCAAAAAAATTTGTGAATCTAAATTCACAACCACTTATTTAGCAAAAAAATCATTAAACTACAGATATCTAGTTGGTCATATCAGAATGTACATACAGCACAGCTCTTTCTTACTAAAAAACATATTTTTGGAAACCAGGAGAAGCAGAAACCAACTCTTTATATGTCATTTAGATACACTGTATCCTTTAAAAGCAATGAATAAATGTACCAAAGAGCAAATAACATGTAAATATGCAGAATTAACACCAGTAAAATGTTGTTTCAGTCACCATTACATAGTAGTGTCATTTCTTGAAACCTTGTACAATCAACATCTCATAAAAAAAGTCAAAATCATGGAAGAAAAAAGATGGAAACATGCCAACTTATACCTTAACTTTCTACTGCCATATAAAAAATGAAATGAACAAAATGACATAAGAACCATGAAGTACTAAGGCAGCTTGATTCAAGACCAAACAGAGGCTATTTTGGAATTTTCAGTTAACTACTGAACTACAAATTACTATATTCCTTTGGCCCCAAGGACCATCACAAAAAATTAACCTTAGTAAAGATGTGATGCAGCATTTCATTTCTTTGTATTGCAGTTCATGAGAAGTTTATAAAATTTATCTTAAAATGTATATGTGTGTGGATGTCAGTTTCTTCACTTCATAAATCTTAGTCATATCCTCGAAGAACCACTTTGCTCATAATTATTCAATTAACACAACTTTCACATTCATCACACAATCATCATACCACATAACATTCTAACTTTAAACAACTAAAATGTTCAAGAATTATTAGCAGGGTGACAAGATAAACTATAGTCTTGAATTGCTGCAATTTGTAATTATTTAATTACAGAACAATGATTATACTAGGGCAAATATTCAATGCAGCACTTCCTACATTATCCCTCTCACAACCATATTCAGATGGACTATAACACTAACCCTAGATTTTTTGTTACATTTCACAAAAACGACTTAATAATTTAATATGAAGAAATATAATATGGGAACTGGAGACAGAATAAGAGGTCTGACAAATAAATAATACAATTATTCTGTAACACCTACATCATTTCTGCCTGGAAATATTGCTGGATAACATTCCCCAGAAGTCCTTTCAGTATTGTCATTGCACTGGTTTATACATCATAAGTAATTCAAACAAGAATTTTAATTCCAGGAACACGGAAAAGTCACACAAGGCCAAATCAGATTAATACAGTAGTTGTTCTAACATCCATATTTGTTTCCTGGTCAAAAACTTCTTTACTAGTTCCTTCTCTAAGAACCACACCATGAAGGCACAAGGGAGGTAAAGCTCCATGCATTCTTAACCTCAGCACTACATGGGCATGAGTGACCAACCATCACTCCAGCTGCTTTACCCCTGGGGAAAAAGCACCCAATAGCCCACAGAGCAGGAGGTTTAGTAGGCCCCAGAACAGGTCTGGATATGTTGGCAAAGTCAAAAATAATTACCCCTACTGGGAATCAAATCTCAATCATTCAGCCCATAGTCCAAGATAATTTTTTTTATGCTTGATGGGCTCTAGAATTGGTCTGAACATGGTGGCAGAAACAAAAATCCATACACTACTTTAAATTGAAAATCACGTGTCCAACCCTTAAGCCACTTAAGACAGTTTTCTATATTAATTTTTTAAAACAAATATAATAAATATTTTAGAAAGTGGGATAACAGAAGTTATATGAAAAATTACCATTCACATTCAAATAGCATAATACCTTGTCACCTCACTATTATCCTAATATCCTCTCACACTACTTCTATTAACATCTACGGGAAGAACAAAATGAAATATAAATCAGGGATAAAATGAATCCCTTCTCCCAATATGATAGAACAATTTGAACTCATGGGAAAACAATGGAAGCATGAACATCTTTACATAAAACAGTGTCCTTAAAAATATTGATAATATATAATTTAAAGCCTTTGTAATAACTGAAAGCTTCTACAGGCCATTACTTACATAGGTCCTTTTGTGAAACTGCTGAGATCAACTCAACTTCAGGCCTTACTATAAATTCTCACTGCAAGTCACCATTGTCTTGCATTAGGATTGTCTAGTAACAGTGTGAACATAAAAGAATCCATGTCAGGTACAGATGAAGTTCCATGCATTCCAATCCTTGAGCTAGAAACAGAAGATACTGCAATGCAGTGATCCTAGCGGCTATACAAATAGCATGGGAGCACAGGACAGCCATAAGCATGTGACATGGCAATTTTCAAAAATGTTGTATGCATAAGAAATTCAGTGCATTAACACTCAGAAACAAGTAAACATTAAATACTGACAACAACCCTCAAAGAAAATACATTTTAAGAAAAATATATATTCTAGATCTCTATTTTTTATAAGGTTGTTGACATATTTGGTTGCCTACAGAGGGGCAGTGAAAGTAGAAAACAAATCTCAAAATAAATATAAAAGAAAATACATTTTCCCTCTCCAATTTAAAGTTCTTTTTCCACATGTTATATCCTTTGTTCATTTTCATACTTAAATGCTCACATAAAGAAATAAAATCTTTTCTTTCCTGTAACATGACATGGAATGTTTAACAACTTGCAGTTGTCTGTGTGTTACTAAACAATCATTATCTGCAAAAAGCTACAATACCAACCTGATGCTGCCTCACACCCACACACCACTCCATCCTCACACTGCACTCAGTTTCAAGAGACCTGCTTGACTACCTGCACCCACAGAAGATTCTTCTAGAGAATCCAAGTCCAATGCAGACTCTATCATTGTGGTGTCCTGAAGCAAGCGCAATCTGCTAGCACTTAGGGGCACAACATTTGTGTCACACATCACCACTTCTGAGAGATCCAAGTCTGCCATTTCAGTGGTTGAGCAACTCTCTCCACCTACATCACCATTGCCACCCGTCACAGTTAACATAACATCATCAATGTCTGTTGGAACTGTAGGTTTGATGCCAACATTGGTCCCATTCATTACAAGTTGTGATACATTACTTGAGTTGTTTCCTAGAAAAAAACATGATAAAAAATTGGTAAATATTGTGTTAATTAAAATGCATAAATTGTGACATAGATATGAAGTGAGTAAATAAAATCTGCTAGTACTTCCAGCACTACACACTCATATTACTTTAACTTTAAACAACTTTCTCAGAATCATATACAAGCAACATAAGAACCATGTAAATGATAGCTTCATTTCTAAGTTCAGGAATTTACATTTCATATATGGTAAAATAACAAAGTACCAATGCCCTCTATATAACATATGAACATATTTAAAGAAACTTTCAAACCCACAGATTGATTTAAAGCACTATTTTTGACACAAAATTTTAGGCAGATAACCCAGAAGACCAACACTTATTTATATCTTCACAGCCACAATAGCCTCAAATCTCACACTATATTTGTTGTTTTATATGGGAGGGAGAGCTGAGATAATAAATGTATGCAAAATTTGGTTGGTAAACCTGAAGGGGAGAAACCACCTAAAACTTAAACAGAGATGGGAGTATAATATTCAGATGGATCTTAAAGAAAGTAGCCAATGTATTCCACAAAAGGTTGGCAATTTATTGATTAAATGAATGACCATGCGCTTCTCAGGGAAAAATCTGGTCCATGGAGTTAATTACTGTTATGCTGTTGTTGCTGCCATTGCCAATGGCTAGATTATTTAGCCATCAATTTAAAAAATAATACTTCAATATCAGTTATTAATAATTAATTTACCATCACAAACATTTTATCTTATGGTACATAGTTTTATTTTTAAGTTTTACAAAAAAGCAAAATGAACCTCTGACCAGTAACATATCATATCACTACTTAATTCCTGCCAAATGCAGCCTACTGCACCATATATCTACAATACAAATTACGATTCTAGCTTATTATGGGGACATTAATAAATTAATTTACATTGCAGAAAAACTTCAACCCATGAAAAATACAGACTAAAAGCTGCTTACACAAATACCATGCAATGAACCAGTACAATGCAGTCACACTAAAATCTGTCTAAACATCATGGTGTTACAGTGCAATTCATTTCATGTGCTTTGACAGAGACCAAGAATTCTGAATGTTTAACTCTTTGAAACATTTAAACTCACTGTACTTCATGCTTCTAAAACAGTAAGCCTGACAAGAGAATATTCTACTACATTAATAAATACAAAACTGATTAATTTGGGTCACAGTTTGTGACTATTAAATAAGGTTATCTTTAACACAAGCAAGATTTGTTTTATAACTGTTTAAATAAATTAAATTCAAAGAACAATTTTGTAAATTTTCACTCAATTCCTGTACTGGTGTACAGTGTGTAACCACTTAATGAGGTTCATTAGACAACAGACAATATTTTCTGTACACATTTTCATACAGACTACATCAGCATATAAAACACATTATCTCAGCAGGGAAATAGACCCCCACCCCGAAATAGAGGTACATGCCAAAAACATTACAAAATACATGTAACAATTATTCCTAGCAGTAATAAAACCGATCAAAGAAACACAGTATTAGTGAGAAAGTAAGAAAACGTAATCTGAATACAAACCATTTCATTCTGCAATATTCATACAAGTACAACACAAAATTCATTAGTACCAAGAATTTCCCTGCCACAATATTTTCAGACATAAACTATTAAAAGCCATGACTGAATTGCGAGTCAAAATATTTTAAATAAACCTAGGAATCTGAATATAAATACAAATGCAAAATAAGTTTTTGTGTTTGTTTCTTCCTAATGCACAGCTATCCATCGATTTACTTGCTTTGTGTTTCTCAAAAATGAGACTGCAATTCATCACATGTAATTTACAAATGTCTTGAACATTTCATAATTTGTCAGTTTACTTGAGTATGGATTTGTAAATTGGTCAATTATATCATAAACATAATACCTCAAAATTTCTCACATTCTAATATATACATACAAACAAACATATCAGAATAATTGGTCTCATCTACAATTATACTAGCATCACATATACAAATAATAAATACAAAACCTTAAGTTGTCATGCCAACTAAATGGATTAAAGTCTTCTCAAGCAATTGGTATTGAATAAGGTTTCAAAGTTTATTCTGCACTGATGGCAACCCTGATAACGGAGACTGAAATAGTCAACAGACCACCAGAACAGAATAAACTCCATTTTGGAAACTGACTAAATGTTCATCAGGTTTGATATTCCCCTAATGATGGGAATGGCATCAATTCAGAATAAAACTCCAAAGTTTCAGACTGTCTCAACCTCAAACATGAGGAACTGATGTATCCCTCATGACGAAGACACAGATGGTCTTCAAAACGTCAAGAGTTTTATTCTGCAGTGATATGCTGACTGCCCAAGAAGACCTTGGAGCTGATCTATGACTAACCAGACCAGAGACTGAAATTTGGCCATCAACTCCCAGTAACTATAGATGTTGGGATATGACAACCCTATACAAAACATGCCAACACAGACACAACAAAATCAGAATATACTGGTGAGCATAACAAAGCAATGAAAAGGGTGCAACTTAAACCAATGTAACACAACCTAATGCTGACTTACCGAACCTCTGATTGCCCTTTTGAAACTTATGGAACAAGAAATGGAATAATTTGAATAAGATGGCAATTCTGCTGGTAAAAAATTCTACAAATAAAAATAAATCACAAACACTCATAAACATTGGTGGTAATTACAATCTACAAAGAAACGATACATATTTTATTTTTACAAAAAATGCAGCATTTTCACTCAAAAATACAATAAATATGATAACTGAAGTTTTTAATGATATTACAATAACTTTCAAAACAAATTCTTACATCACCAATGTATGAAATGGGACTGTTCTGAAATCTCTGCATATTAACTACAATTTTCAAGTAATCATAAATTCAAAATTAAGTTTATTACACTGTAAAACTTTAACATCTAGAAGTGACTTTCCATTCCATTATAAGACCCAATTTAATAGCCATCAGTTGCCACTGGAACAAAAGTCAAGATCATTAAGTGGTGATCTAAAAGGAAGGCTAATATCAATTATAAAATGTGTATCATGTATAAAGCATTTTTCTACAGAGTCAACATGAAAACTGTGATATGTATCATGTACAAGTTTTCCTAGTCCCTGCCCATGGAAGTCAGTGCCCTATTCATTCAACCACTGTATCATTGCTCTTTCAACATATTATCATGTTTAGGACCAATGTATGTTGCTTCAGGGCTGGAAATAGATAAAGAACATCTGGAAAGCCACATATTCAAAATTCATAATGTGGGAACTGCAGCAAAATGACGATTAAAAGAACACATGATTTCTATGGACACAGGGACAGAAAAACAAATACCATGGATCTGCAAGTGCCCCAGTCTGGGTGGGGACTATACATAAAAACAGTTTACAAGTCCTAAAATAACACTATATTATCAACAAAGAAAAAACTGAGTGAATAATGCCCTCTAAAATTACTGACTGTAATTCGTATTTTGCTAAATGTGTATCCCTTCTAAGGTATTTCACAGTCAGACGGCTTACTATCAATTTCTGTACTGACTAAACAGCACCAAAATATATAATTTATATCTTAATTGCAGTATCTACTGAGAATGTTATAATTTTAAGTAATTTTAAACAACATTATTTTAAGTTTGTGTATAGACGGAAAATAAAATATTGTACCAAAATATATGTTGATTGTCAAAATATATATAACATTGTGAAGAAGGGCATCTGTTCTTGCACTGAGCAATGAAAGAAATAAATGTGACATAATAAAATATAATTAATGTAACTTATGTTACCAAACATGAAATAATGCAACAGGCCAACAAGTATAAAGTATGCTATAATGGCTTACATCATTCTTCAATTTCTGTACAAAACGAAAAGAGGTAAAAAAACAGTTCTTATAATAATACATCATACCATCCTTCTGCTTTGTTTACACCATTCCAGAGTTTATGAACAGTAAATTATTACTAAAAAGGATGCAACATGAGAAGTCCCACCATTTACAGAACTGACAGTGGAAAGGTGCACTCCAGTTTCAGCACAAAAATGTCATCCTTGTAACTTTGCACTTTTCACTGATGCTAATGTTCATTTATTTTTGATACAAATCTATCCTTGCAAAAGTAATCACACTACATATTCATGACTTATTTTGTTAAATAAATGTATTATCAAAAAATATTAAAAATAAACAATGTGTCTGATAATAAATCTATTTTTAATGAACAAATTAAAACATTTGGTTCTTACAGTTAATACTAAAGTCTCTAAACAAATGAATTCTCATTCAATTTAGCAACACTGACTATCACTTTACCTAAAGGCATATATTTTTAGACATAATTCAATAAACACTGAGTAAATTGAAAAATTCTTTGAACAAATGTAACCTCAAACAATACAAAATCTATGCCTTGTAAATTTTCTTCATAAAACTAACCATTTTCAAGGCATGAAGTGAACACATATACGGGAGGTTTTGTCCATCTGTCTTTCCAAATGTATTCAATTCATTTTGATCCAATATGGTAGTTCAACACAACTTTCCATTCTTGTTTAATTAAGTGCTGGTTATCACCCGCAAAGTTCCAAGTTAGCAGCAATGCACCTTCAAAACCTCACTGCTGTTGAAATTGTTAGCAGTAACGAGTTAGTTCTATCATAATCAAGTAAATTATGATTAACCATAATCTTCAACTGAAAATCTATCCTTCCTATTGCGGAGTTAAAATTGAGCAATAACTTTATAGCTGAACACACATATAAGCATCATATTAAATTAATTCTAGCATGTCACTTCATAAATGGTACAACATGAAGAAGAACAGGGGCTTCGGCAACAAAGTTTCACACGTAAACATATTTAACAATTCCATAGTAAAACGTGTGCTATTTAAATGGAATAGTAAACTTTCCTTAACTTAGTCTGTTTAACTCTGTATATGCTATGCAGAAGATTCCTCATGTATGAGTAC